GGCTGTTCAGATCACGCTGACGGTTGCCCGACGGTTGCCCTCACACGCCGTGCGGTGCCGACTCAAGCAGCCAAACAGCCCCCGGGCACCACGCTAGTATCACCACTCGAGGCTTGCTTAGTGGTTGCCTGGTGGATGCCCGGTGGTTGCCCGATGGTTGCTCGGTAGTTGCCCGAATGTTGCCCGGATGTTGCCCAGGAGTTGCCTGGAAGTTGCCCGGAAGTTGCCCGGAAGTTGCCCGGAAGTTGCCCGGAGTTGCCCGGGAGTTGCCCGGAGTTGCCCGGTAGTTGCCCGGCAGTTGCCCGGTAGGTGCCCGATAGTTGCCCGGCAGATGCCCGGTTTTCCCTTTGTCTGGGGCAGGATTGTATTTTGAAGTGTGGGGGAATTGGTAAACTTCGTGTACGGCCAGGAGTTGATAACCTTTTTTTCTGACTGCCATGAGTAGCTCAGGGGCACACCATGACCCGGTGATTTGACGCTCATGGGGTTCATGGAGACATACCTCAGTGCTCTCGCACTCAGCGCAAGTCCTGCATAGGGGGAACATAAGCTTACCACCACACTTGTACGGTAAGACAGGCAGATAGAGGTCACGCGGTGGAAGGACAGTACACTTTATCATACCATTCCAGAGATCAGGGGTCGGCATCTCTGGTGAATTTTCTAGGTGTATGTCTGGATGACCTATAGGGTACTCTCCCCTTAGGTTTGCATTGGGGTACTCGCTCACGACGTCCACTAGCTTTATCTTTTCACCGTTCTTCAAGTCTGCCTTGTAGTACCAGCGGAGGGCGCTTGTGCGTCCTCCTGCTAGACCGTCACGCAGATTGAGAGCTGTAGTTGTAGTTGTGGGGTGGGTCTTAAAATACTCCATGACATCTGGATCAGACTCAAGACGCCTCTTGAACTCACACTCCCAAATGACTACCACTTTGTATCCTGCTTCACGGTACATAGCCGTAATGTATTGTGTTCTCACGTACCGATTCTCTGGGGAATCTGATGTGGGCGGGAAATGAGTTGGACAGTTGTGCCAATAGCACCCATGAAATTGGTAAATGCGGCGCTCACAAGTGCCGTCAGGAAGCGGAAGCTCCACGTATCCATCTACGGGCCTGCCCATGACCATGACTTCCCTGTCAGTGTAAATTGTCTTAATTTTTCTGCCCAAGACATGTTCCTCATAAGATAGCCACTTGAGAGCGATATGAGACTGTTTGCCCCGCCCGTGGTAGCCTCCTGCAGGTACAATCCCGATTGTGTCTTTAGCAAGAAAATTTCGCCGAAAGGCGGCCATGCAGGCGCTGCTCAGAGTCATACAGTTAAACATTGGATCAAAGCCACCGACCTCTTGAAACAGTTTTCTGAAGGCCTGGCATGCCTGTCTGAGAATCGTCACATCAGAGATGCAGTAATCAATCAGCTCCCGCCTAAAGTTGAAGACATAGTTGGCTGCTACTTGTGCATCATACCAATCATTGAATTCCTTGGCTGCACCCCTCTTCATGTTTGAAACACAATAGAAATCTTTGTCCAGCAGTGGCCCCTCATACTTGTAGTATTCGGGCTTGTTTGCCAGAAATGGAGTGTAGCCCTTCTTAAGTTCTGTAAGTCCAAAAGATTTGGGCATAGAACTGAGAGGCATGGGTAAAAACATGAGAGAATCTATGAATTTCCAGTTCCCAGCGGTCAAACAGAGGATTTTAGCTCCTTGGAGCGTGGGTTCGACTTTGATCTTCCTGGCAATCAGCTCTTGGAGAACCAGTGGCCCGTCATACGAGCGCGAGTTATGGGCTATTAGGAGCAACTTGGTTTTAGCCGGGAAGGATCGGAGGTAATCTATAAACTGACCCATGACATTGAGTTCAGGGTCGTCTAAATTATGAAAGATTTGCTGCCGTGTCTTGCACACGGCACAGAAGTACTCATTCTGTGTTATGTCCTTGCACTCATCACAGACTGCCTGTGTGACGATGAGATTAGGTACATGCTCGTACGTGTCCTCTTTCCCTTCTACAGGCTTATCCTGAGAACATTCTGTGTCCCAGTAGATATTTACGTACTTGTAGTCTTTTTTCTTTTCTTTTTCACTCCATTTTGACATATAGCACAAGTGATTTTCTTTGACTGACTCCTTACAATTTCTGCAGTATATGAAACCGCACATGTGTTTTTGAGTGTGGAGTGTACTATAGCTCTTTTTGCAAATATTGCAAAACTTAAAAAGTTCACATTTTGTGAACTGTGTATTATTAATTTTGACAGTTTTGTGTTTTTCCAGGCATTCAGCGCCTGCAAAATGATGATGACAAGTAGGACACCGCACTAGTGCGTCTTCATGTTGATTTTCCCCATAACAGCGCCAGCAGTAACCTTCACAGTGATGGTCAAGTTTGTGGTTATAAAAAACTACACACTTCTCACATTCAAAATGAAAGTCAAATGCAGCTCCAGGATAGAGAATGGCACTAAAATGTTCTTGGTGCCAAAGCAAATAGATATTTTTGCGACCCGCCACATAAGGCCCTTTGTACACACATGCAGCATTTTTGTCTGTGAATACACACAGCCGGAAGTCAGGAAGACTATCTTGCAGTTTGACAACCTCGTCGATCCCACACGGCTGTGTGGGATCAATGTGTGCGTTTTCACAAAGTTTGAGAGCATTTTCTTGTTGCAAACCAGTGGTAGCCACTTTAAATCGAGAGAATGCCTTTCTGTTCATGCCGTGACGTGCTATTGCTATCGCAACACTCCGCGTCAAACACATGTTGTCTGTGTTGTCAGGTGAAAAAATGCTTTTTTTGTCAATTTTACGTGTCAGCCACTGTTCTGTTGTCTCATTTTCAATGCGATTAATACGTCGCCCTCCTGGCTTTGGTGAAGGAATGTGAATATAGCTCAGTTTGAGCTTACCATCGACCATAAAGGTTTGATTGCTGTTCAAGATTCGTGAGAGCTTGTCAAGAATGACACGACCATTTAATTGTGAAGTCTTTCGCAGACTTAGCCAAAGAGGGTTATCTGCGGATTCACCGTTCTCAATCTCTACTATCACACGGTCGTCGTCTTTGGCATCCACAGCCTCCCTCTGCCTCTGTAGTACTGTGTCAAAAAGGCCCTCCATAACCTCCTCTGAGGGAAGTGTATTTCCCAAACCTTTAACCAGCATAATTTCTTCACGAAATTTTGTTTTAAATCTTTTTATTTCCCGCTCTTCAGTTTGAAGAACCTCCAGTGTTGGACTCTCGTCCTCCTCCTCCTCGCCCTCCTTCTCCTCCTCTAGGCGCCGTTTTGATGGCCCCGGTTGAGGTGAGGGAGGGCGCGGAGTTGCTGGTCGCGAAGGACCTGGCTGCGGCTCCGCGGCGGTAGCCGCGGAAGCGCACTCAGATCCTTGCCCGACCATAGCAAGAGCCATACGATATGTGACTGCACTCTGTCTGTCCCCACCCCCTTGAACCCGAAGCAAGGCCTGATAGCCTACTAGCAGAAAGGGTATCACCCTTATATCTGCCCGTGCCGCTTCCGGCGCGTCCATCAAACTAGCTAGGACTTCAATGTAAGCCTGAGCCAACAACTCATCGTTGTAAAAACAACCCCCTTCCCACTCCTCCAAGACCTCCGTCAGAACACAAGACATCGATGAAGACTGACTAGGACAAAGCCGTAGAAAGAATGATGACTGGGCTCCGGACGGGTCACGATTTATACTAGCGCCGGTGCACCACTAGCGCTGCCTATCGGTTACGCGCGGAACTACTACCACGGCTCGGCTCCGCGCCACCGGCGGGGCGCGGCTGGACTCGGCTCGGATGGCCTGGTGCTGCGCGGCACGGCTCGGCTCCGCGCCCACGGCTGGGCGCGGCTCGGCTCGGCTCGGCCCGGCTGACGCATCTCAGTTCGCCCCGGCTGGACTCGACTCGGATGCCCTGGCGCTGCGCGGCACGGCTCGGCTCCGCGCCCGCGGAGCCGCCGCTGGGTGCAGCGGGGCGCGGGGTGAACGAGTAGCGACGTGTCATGCGGCTTTGGTTCCAGTTGTTGCCGATAGGCGGCCCTAGTGTCGCTAGCGGCGCAGGATAAAAGGACGACCCGGCGCCTCGGTCGGCATCACTTCGGTTAGAGAGCAGCAGCAGAATGTCTCACGCAGCAGTCGATGTTCAGATGCTCAGGGGGGTGCAGGGGGAGTTTGTGGTGAAGGAGTTCAGTCTGTACGATGCTGAGTATGATTTGAGTAAAACAGTGCTATTTGCACCACCGTGTGCAGAGTACTTGCTAAGTCCTGATATAATGAAAGAAAACAGTTACGTCACTAACAAAATTCATGGGTTGAGGTGGAATTGTGGAAATACACCTTATGGTGCATGTGCTGGCATCTTGCAATCAATGACTCGTCCGTACACGTATCTTTATGTTAAGGGAGAGCAGAAAAAGTATCTGCTTCAAGATTTTTTGCCTCAGAGTATAATTATTGACATCACAGAACTTGGTTGTCCAAAATTGGATAAACTCCCTAAAGTTGGTGTGCGGTCACACTGCGTGGAACACTTCATGTTCCCTCTGCACACATGTGCAGCTCTAAATGCTAAACGAATTGGGCTTTGGTATGAATTCCAAATGGAATAGCAGTGTTCTTTAAAAAATCAAAAAAATAATAAAAACGAATAAAAGTTTGAAAAGCCACTAAAAATGTTTTTTACACTGTATGTGAGAGTGTACTCGAGTGAAAACAAGTTGAAACAAGTCCATTATTTAGTTCTTTAGTTCGCCCGATAGGAGGCGCTAGTGGCGCCACTCGATTAGTATATAAGGAGACGGTGGTGCGACACCGCCAGAAGAAACCTGTCGTAACGATATCGTTTTGATATCGCTTGTGTAGTATCGATCCCTTGTCGTTTTCCGTGTCGTAAACGATACCAAA